CTTTATAAAGTACCCAGTCTTGGGTATTTATTCATAGCAGCATGAGAACAGACTAACACATACCGAAAGGAAAAAGAAGTCATTATATGAAAAAGACACTTGCACACGTATATTTATAGCAGCACAATTCACAATTGTAAAGATGTGGAATCAACCAAAGTGCCCATCAATTGAGTAGATAAAGAAAAAGTGATATATATGTACGCACACTCACACACACACATATATATATAAAGTATACCATGGAATACTACTCAGCCATTAAAGGGAGCTAAACATTGTCTTTTGCAAAACCTTGGATGGAGCTGGAAGTCATCATTTATTTTTTTTTGAGACAGAATCTTGCTCTGTCACCCAGGCTGGAGTGCAGTGGCATGATCTTGGCTCACTGCAGCCTCTGCGTCCCGGGTTCCCGGATTCTCCTGCCTCAGCCTCCTGGGTAGCTGGGATTACAGGCACATGCTACCACGCCTGGCTAATCATTGCATTTTTAGTAGAGACAGGGTTTTGCCATGTTGGCCAGGCTTGTCTGGAACTCCTGACCTCATAATTCTAGCTGAAGTAACATAGGAGTGGTAAACCCAAATCTTTATGTTTTCACTTAGAAGTTGGAGCTAAGCTATGAATATGCAAGGGCATACAGAGTGACATATGGACTTTAGAGACTCAAGAGGGAAAGTTGGGAGGGAGGTTAGCAATAAAAAACTGCACATTAGGTACGATGTACACTACTCGGATGACAGGTGCACTAAAATCTCTAATTCATCTCTGTATAATTTATCCATGTAATCAAAAACCACTTGTACCCCAAAAGCTATTGAAATTTAAAAAAAAAGAAAAAAGAAACTTCAACTCCTTAGTTTTCACTCGTGGAGCAGATTTTATCAGAGGCCGTAAATCACTCATTCAGGCAACCTCTTAGGTAAATAGCCGGCCCAGTGCCTTTAAACTATGGAGAAAAATAGGGCTAGATAAGCAAATGGCTTGCTTGAGGGGAGACAGGGCCTGCCAACTACTCACATACCATAAAGGCAGTCACTCAAACTTGCAGACTTAAGTACCAGGAAAGCAGGTTTCTCAAACTTTAATGTGCCAAGGATTTTGTTAAAATGCAGACTTTGACTCAGTAGGTCTAGGGAGGAGCTCGCAATTTGAGTAGCAAGGCATGAAATTGTCCTCGCTTAATGTAATCTAAAGTTAAATAAGTGTTATGTGTTTGCTTTAAAATCTCATTTAAGCTAGGGCAATTAGATTTATGACTATCCCATTTTTAATTCTATATGTATTTTTCCAGTATTATTACAGTGATTCCTTACATATTAAATTGGTGAAGACAAAAATATTCAAATTGTATTTTGTGAAACACGGATCTCTGTACAGATTTTTATAAACTGATGATTTATGTTACTTCATTGAGCACAATTCTTTGCTGGATACAGTGTTGTATGATGTGAGAATGTTCAATGAATCAAAGAGAATCCTCCACAGCACGTAACTGCACATAATAAACCACTGCATTCTCTGATGGCAGAGTGAAGTTAAATAAAGAACATGCTTTGGGCCTGAAGTCAAAAAGTCTTTTTCTCTCCACTTCTTTTTGATTCCAGTGAAAACCTTTTAATTTGACTAGAAGGCACTCAGGCCAAATTCTCTGCTATCTGAAAGGGTTTAGTCGCCACCTTGTGGATAATAAAACAACAACATCCCCAAATAATACATTTCCTGTACACAAAAAAAATTTTTAAACCTCCAGCATGGTTAATTTTCAAAACATAGCCAAAAACTTACTTTTTAAGCCACTGAACATTACTGCCACAATTTGGTAGACTCCAAAGAATGCACCCTATTGTCAGAGTGAAGTTAGAAGAGCAACGGGCCTTTCAGAATGCTTGCAGCCAGAGCTGCTCAAAACTGCCATCTCCTAACCAGGCCACTTCCTTGAAAGAGACCTTACTCATTTCCGGATATGTACATAAAGATGCAAGTTCATTACATCACAGGTTACCTTAATTTATGCTTACTGTATTTGCATCCTGCTCCCCTAATTAATCCTCAACACTTTTTGTGGGGTAATAAGTGGAAGAGCGACTCAAGAAATGTACTGCAATGCCTCTCAAATATATCTGGTAATGTTAATCTGTGCTTTGGCCACCCATGTCGCTTAGTGTTAAGACAGGAGTTGGAATAGCATTTCATCCTGGGCAATTCTTTTAAATAACCAGGGAGAAAATAAAGGCAAGCTTCATAAGAGAACTGCATGAAAAGCAAAACAAAACAATACCAGAAAAATCCAGACAATATTTTTCTGCTGTTTAATTGATCTCAAGGAAGGAGAAATTCAAGTCCACAAAAACTTACATGAATTCTGTTTATCACATACAAAACTAAACATACAATACAACAGCAAATAACAAACATGCTGAATATTTTCAGGCCATTTTGAATGGTGTCCTGTACATGTACATACATAAATAATAAATACTGCTTCTGAATTACCTTAAAATACAGTACCACCAAGAGTTTTACATTTCTATGTGACTACTCAGTAAATGAGCATAAAGGAATGAGGAAGTAGACAATATCCATATCAGATAAAGTAGAAAGTCTTATGTCCTTCTGAAAAGCAACACAATAGGCCCAAGAACAACTACATACCATTTTCCTTTTAGCTAGTAGGTATATGGCAAGACTAATGATATTCTCTTCCCCATCCTTTTTGTCACAGGGTATGAAGTCTACCCTA